GTCGGCCTTGAGGAGAAGCTCCCAGCACTACATCCCTGGGCTTAGGGTTGAAGACTACATGTATGACCCGGTCCTCAGTAAACAGTAGTCTTGGCGAACAACAAACGCAGCTAAGGACTTGAGAAAGAGCCAAGTTCTAGAAGAGAAGCGCAACACTGTAGAGGAAGATGCTCTGTGACTTTCCCAGCAACATGAGCCACCTCACGGCATACATGAGTGTCCCTTCAGGGTCATCCAATGCAATCCCCAGACCTCCTGGTGGGAGCCACCCACAGCAAGACTAAGGATTTACAACTGTCGTGAACATGCTACATTTTTAGCTTGAGTTTTGTTAGTAATACAACAGGGTGTTTCAATTCAAGTAACCTGAGACCACCCAGAAGCAGGCAAGCAACGGGCCTGGGGGCTCCCTGAGCGCAGCATCCAAGCGTGCTGCTGCTTCGGGCATCTGGAGTGCCCGGCGGTCGCCACACGCTGGATGCCCTATGGCTAGAGCCTCCCTTCGCCTTCCACACACTGCGGCTCCTCAGCCACTCCTGAAGCCCGCGATGGCAGGGAAGCCTGCAATAAGTAACTCACACAATGCTGAAGTCGCCTCCAAAAAAGTTTATTAGCATGATTAAAAACATTTTCTTGAATAATAACAGAAAGTTTCTAAACATGAAAGAGTATCAGTGGCTCTATCTTATGACCAATATTTGGAACTGAGTGGGTACCTTTATTGCCAGTCTTCATTTTATTAAAAACAATCCAAGAATTGATCCCATGAAGCCATGAGTGCTGCTTTGGGAGTGAGCTCCTACTGCAATTAAGTATAAAAAATATCTTCCATCATAATTGAAGTGTGACCTGCACTGCAGCGTGACTCTGAGTAAAGAGTTGATAAGAATCCACAAAGAGCTGGGTTTCCATTTTTAAAAACATTCCTTTTACACACTACAAAGAGACAATTAGTATTTTGGCCTTTTAAGTCCCTACAGGACGCCTCAAGCGGCGGTCCCAGGTCCTCGCATTGCGCAACTGCGTGCAGACCCGGCTGGTGCGGCCTCTGAGGACTTGGGTCTGCGCAGCTACACCGGCCTGAGCACGAAGACCGCGTCGTCCAGCACGTAGTAGTCGTTGTACATGTCGCCCTCGCACAGGTACGGCAGCCTGGTGAGCGCTTCCACGGCGAAGCCAGCCTTCCTGAACACCTCGGGCAGGCTGTTCACTTGCTCTTCCCAACTCTGTCCCTTGATCTCCAAAGTTTCTGATGGTTTTTCCCACTTGCCACCTACTAAAACAAATTTAAAACATTAGGTTAAATTCTTGAACCAACCCACGACTCCAGAGGGGGCTGTTATGTCCAGGCACCAGCGCTGCAGGTGGCACCCCGCCACCCCACCCCGAGCACTGGGGAGCCGCCCACGAGCGCAAGCACACAGGGCCAGCTCCGGGCTGCATGGGACCACAGTAGTTAATGGGTCCACAAAATTGGTCCAAACTATAATACTGTAGCAGAGTAACACAGAATACTTCACAGAGGGTTTTGAAAAACTCAGAAAGCACCCTGACGCAGTAAACTTCCACAACTTACTTCCCAGAGAGATTTTATCAGGCTAGAAATAGAAACAGGCTCAGGAAAGGTGGCTTGTATTGACTGACTAGGGACTGATCCCAGGCTTTCGCACCGAGCTGCGCTGTAAGCTTCCTCAGTTTTATTTTGAAACACGGTCTCTCAAAGTTGCCCAGGCTGGGCTTAAACTCACGACCCAACGCCAGCCTCCCACAGTGCTTAGGCATGTTCACCATGCCTGCCTGAACTTCAGCTCCTAAAAACTGATCGCCAGTATGATTTGCCAGGAAGGGTAACCTGCTGCCTTTTCAGAACAATGTCACAAACATCAAGCTCCAAGGCCAGAGGCAGGTAGAGCACCACTATGCGGGCATCCCAGCACTGGCTGGCTGCAGACAGGCCTCGCTATGCAGCTCCAAGGCCAGAGGCAGGTAGAGCACCACTATGCGGGCATCCCAGCACTGGCTGGCTGCAGACAGGCCTCGCTATGCAGCTCCAAGGCCAGAGGCAGGTAGAGCACCACAACGAGGGGGTCCCAGCACTGGCTGGCTGGCTGTAGATGGCCTCGCTATGCAGCTCAAGCTGGCCTTGAACTCCTGGCCATCCTCCTGACCCAGTCTCCCACACGCTGTCACCACAGGTGGGCGCCACACACCCAGCTCACATTTCCTGACATAATGGCTGAAGTCTCAAACCTGCGAGCATCAGAGACCTGGGGAGTGAGTAGGCAACCAGGCAGGAGTTCCAAGTTTCCATACAAGCCACACATCCACCAAGGTAATCACATGGTGAAATTTAGGGGTCCTTTTAGACACATTAGTGATGTAAAAAACAACACAAATCACATACATACTGTATCTGTAATGTGTTACTAAATTCAGACCTAGAATGGCTTTCTACGAATGAGAAACACGCAGTCAGCAGGGGCCTAGAGCGTACCCACTGGGCAACGCCCGGTCCCTGTGGTCCGTGACCAGTACTGACTCTCCTACACCTGTGTCTTGGTCACATCTGTGACCGTGCCCTCCCAAGGCCAGCCCAGGGGCCCGTGGCACTCTGGTGAGCCTCAGCAGGAAGCACCAGAACCTCAGCCTACCCTCTTGGGGGTACAGCGGGGCCAGGGAGGCCAGGTGGCGGGCAGGTACGGGGTGCCTGATGTCAGCAGCACATGCTGCCAGCTTTCAGCTTGGCACCGTTCTTCCCAGCTGTGACCCACACGCAGCAGTTCTCCAGACCTGCAGGACTCGGGAAGCTCCCCCAAGGCTGGTTCCTTTCGGCCCGAGTGAGCCACTTACAAAGACTCTGACCGCAGGTGCCCCTGGGGCACCACACAGCACCCAGTGAAGGCCGGGTCCCCAGCCAAGTCCCTAGGGGTGCCACACAGCACCCAGCGAAGGCCAGGGTCCCCAGCCAGGTGCCCTGGGGGC